CACCCCATAATGGAATGTCAGAGTTGGATTGTAAGAAGAGCACATGGGGTGGGAATATTTTATGAGCTCACTATGGAAATTATGAACTGCCACACCTGTTCACACCATCCTTCTGCTGAAGATCCTTTCTGAAGCTCCCACTGCCCTTGGGCTGGAATCCGTGCTCCTCCATGTGGCTGACATGGCCTGTGCCGTCTGGCCCCTGCCCCTGCCTTCGTGCTTCTGTCTGCCCCTCCCTCCCTCCACAACTGGCCCCAGAGATGGGTTTGGCTTAAATCAACCTGACAGCCACATGGAGCTTCCATGAACAGTGTTTGCCGCTCACTCCTCCCCACACACTGTGTCTGGCTCCACTTGCCCTGAGACGAACCTCAGGCTGAGGGACCTCCGAGTGTTTCCCCCATAGCAACCTAGCCTGTTGCCTCCTGTTTCTTTTCACGAGCGTTTTCTCTCCCTTCCTCTGTGCCTTTGTGCGCATTGTTCCCTCTGTCTGGAATTCCCCTTCACCCCCACCCACAGCCTTCCCCAGCCCCATGGCTGCCCTGCCCCCTCCTTGCAGCCATCCAGACTGCCCGGCCACCTGCACCCCTGCCTTTGGGATCTGCCACTTTGCTGCTGTCAGACCTTTACATAAACCAGCACAGCAGAGTGGATGAGGCATCGACTCTGGCTCAAATCTGTGCTCCTATTCCAGCTCCACCACTTCCCAGCTCTGTGACCTTGGAATAATAACTAACTCATTGGATTGTGATGAGGATTAAATGAGAGAACCTAAATAAAGTGCCAAATTCTCGTCTGCTGCCAAATAGAGGCCCAGTAAGAGTTTGAGTTTCCTCTCCTTCTTTCTAGCATCTCCTGGTAAATGCTCAGTAATGAATTTTCTCACCCTCATTTGGTTGAAAAAGGAGAAATGCATCTCCCTGCTTAATCATGTGGGACTAAACTACCAGAAGATTACAAGAATATTGCTGAGCCATGAGCAGAGAGAAAATAAAAAAGCTCAATAATGATTTGCCTGCTTATTTTTAATAAAACCTGCCAGTGGAGCTGAATCTTTGTCCTCAGGAAAAGCTCCACTTTGCTGCAGTGGTGTCCGAGAACTGCGGTAGAAGCACGGCGGTGTGACCTTGAGAACAGAGCTGGCGGGAGGACAGCTCCCACAGAAGCTCTGGCAGCTGTTGCGAGGCAGGGGGACACAGGAGGAGCTCCTGGATCTTCCACCTGCCCGCCTGCAGGGCTGCCGGGATGCCCTGTGCTACTGCTCCTCTCAGGCTGAGTGGGAGTACCCGGTCAGGTGGCTAGGGATGGGTACTGCCCACCCTTTATGGTTGGGGGACTGAGAAAGTAGCCAGGTAGATGCAGTGTGCAAGCTCTCCATTTGCAGGTTCCAGCACCTTCCACCCTGGGCAGTTGTTGAGGGCAGATGTGGGCTGAGGGAAGGGGTCTTTGCCCTTTAGAGGGGAGAGGAGCTTAGCGCAGGGCAACCCCTTACCCACTCAGCTCCTTTATGTGATACCATGGGCAGAGGCTGGGCAGAAATGGACAAGAGGAGCTCCTTTTACTAAGCTCTGCCTCAGGTCTGCGGACGCTTCCCCAGAGACAAAGCATGGAGGTCAAGGGTCTTGGATACCACTGCAGGGGTATAACACATTACCCTGGCTGGTGTGATGAGAACATGGGTCATCTTAGCAGGCTCTGAGGTGGGGAAGAAGGCTTCAGCTCCGAGAAATGAGAAAAACAAGCTTAGAGGAATAGCGTAAAGTCATTGCCTTTTGCATCAAAGCAAGAATGAGTCCCTCATCCGTTTCAAGCCTGAGTTGGGGTGCTGGGCCCCAGATTTTAAAATTCTCACTTTCCAAGCCCTCCTTGTGCCCGACAGAGCACCTCCAGGGCACCTCAGTGACCAGTTTCTGACCTTTCAGATTGGATCAAGCCCCTCCCAAGTAGAGAAAGGCCCCCAGTTCCAGACTTGGCCTGGGACGGGCTGTTCCCTGGAGCGCCACAGCAATGGCAATAATGGCCTGGCAGAATCCTGAACCCAGCATGACCTATCAAGGAGTACCCGGATAAGAACTGAGCACCTGATCAGGCAGCCACATCCCAGCCCCACTCAGCTCTGACCCTGGGGCAGGCGCTGCCACCTTATTGCCCGTTGTGTGAAGTGCGCATGACATAAGTGCCACCCAGAGTTGAGGGCTGGGAGGTGTGGTGCCGGGTGTTGCTGCAAGCTTCGATGGGCAGGTGCCACGTCTCCTCTGTTTACTGTTCTCATGTCAATTCTGTGCCTGACTCAGCTCCTACTGTGTGCCTGGAACATGCTCTGTAAATGCTGGGGTCATGTGTTGCGTATTATGGTCCTATTTTCTGTGCATTCCCCCATAGAAAATATTGGCACTGGCCAGGACCCCACACCTAAAAGCTCCTCCTGCACAGTCCCAGTAAAAAACTTTTGGGGGATGTTTTCCTGCCACCTAGACCTGTGAGCCGGTACTAATTCACTGCCAGTGGCTGGTGTCTCAAGGAGGGGCACCTTGGCATTGGACGGTGTTGCAGGGATTTCCAAGTTCTCAGCTACTCCATGAACTTCCTGTGCCCTTAGTGGCTTTTTGGAGATTCTGCTTTCTCTCCTCGCTGTGCTTGGAGGCCCCAGGGAGGAACCTACCGGGAGAAGAGGCTCAGTATCTTCCCGTCCATCTCCCCACCCTGATCCCTGATGCACGCCCCTTTCCCTAAGGTGCAAGATGCAGGGCGTCGCTGCCTAGGGAAGTGACCAGTGCACCCCGGGATGCCTCTCTTCCTGAGGAGGCAGTAATTTTCCACGGCCTCTCAAAAAGGAGGATGCCTTGTTCTCCCCAATTGCATCTGCCTCTTGCTAGCTCAGGGTTGCCCCACTTTTCCCTCTGTGGTCCTCAGCCAGGTGCCTGTGGCTTCATGGCCTCAGAGCTGATCCTCCAGGTGTGGGAGGCCCCCTACTTCTCACCTTCATGTGAAATTTAAGGGGAGATTGAAAGCAGTCAGAATGCTCTTTATAGCCTCATTTCTATCAGAAGTGTAAAAGGCTGCTTCCAGGTATAATTAGAAGAGATCCTGGGCACATTTCTGCTCACCCCAGAAATGTTCTTTTAAAAATGGGGCTGTTCTGACACCAGCTGGTACCCTACAATTCACTTCTGGCACTGACCACCCAGGGTTGGCATGGTGGTCAGTATTCTCCAACAAGGGCAGAATCCTGACCTGGCAGAATCCTGAACCCAGCATGACCTATCAAGGAAGACCTGGATAGGAACTGAGCACCTGGTCAGGCAGCCACATCCCAGCCCCACTCAGCTCCGACCCTGGGCCAGGAGCTGCCACCTAATTGCCCATTGTGTGAAATGGGGATGACTTGAGTGCCGCCCAGAGTTGAGGGCTGGGGTGGTGGTGATACATATATTTTTTCCATCTGATACTCCGGAAACTGCCTTACCTAGCTCAGTTACCTGCTGCCTCCTTCCACTTTAAAACATTTCCCATGTGCCTTGTACTTTTTACCTGATTTAGTTCTTACTACAGCCCCCTGAAGTCTTCATTGTTAATATATCCATTTTTAAATGAGGAACTGAGGTCCTGGGATGGGGATCACCTCAAGGTGACACAGCTGAAAAGTACCCCAGTGGGATTTCAATCCAGCTAACCAAATTTGGGTTAAAGATGGGGTCTTCCGAGTTCACCCCAAACACAGTGAGTCACATGCTCCTTCTGAGTAGATGATCATCTTTCCCCTAGCACATGCTGGCGGCTGGGAGCTAACTGCACTTGTCTGTTACGTGGTGCACCGTTGAGGCTTCAAAGCTGGTAAAGGGCCTTTGCCAAGGGGTCCCGTTGGCTTGTCCTGCTCCCTCCAGGGAGTGACCAGCCGCCCCACCAGGCACAGCTTGCGAATGTCCTGCCAGCCTGGGAAATGGGAGGGCGAGGGCGCTTTTGCTTTGCCTGCCAGCGTTACCTGTCCTCCTGCAGCCCAGTGCAGAGAGGGCTCTGAGCCAGCACAGCTGGACAGATTCCTCACTGAGCCTCCTAGGGCCATGGCGCAGACATGATGGTATAGTACAGAGAAGCACCATGCAGGGCCTGTCCTAATGAATGTCCCTTGACTGCCCTCTTCTCCCACTCTAGATGGTTAGAAATGCAGCAGCTGACATTTCTGTCACTGCCAGGCCCCAGGGGAGCTGCCCAGGGTGAGGTCAAAAGCCAAATTCTACAGTCTGGGAAATTAGCAGCATTTGTAGGATTCCCAAGAGACATCCTGGTTTCTCTCAGCCTTGCCAGTGGTTCTCAGTTGGGGTGTCACTGCCCCTACAGGGCATTTGCAGATGTGTGAATGAGTCCACAGTTGTCACAGTGACTGGGGATCGATCCTCCTGGCATTTGCCCAGTGGGGTTCCAGGTATACTAACCATCCTGCAATGAGCGGGACGGTCAGGTACACAAAGAATAGTCCTGTCCATGAGAGACACTGGGAAATGACATTTGCCTCCCCGCCCTTGGTTCCTTAGAAAACCACTGTCCCCACCAATCTTCAGGCTGAATTAACAGGAAATAAAGGGCAGGTTTCCATCCCAGTGTATGACCAACAACCAAGTGTACGTGGGCAAGTACGAGAGGAGCCTCCTGTTTCGCGTCACTTACCCTGATTCTTCATAGATGGTTCTTGCATCAGCTGGGTTCTCCTGGGTCAAGGAAGACCTGGATTTGGGTAGTGGAAATTCATGGGGCAGTGGGACGCCTCCTCCTTGGCAGCAGCCTGGTGCCTGGCAGGAATAGCTCTCAGCCCACCTGGGATAGAGACTCGGTGACCACACCACGGGGTCCTTGGCAGGGACCTATCTCCCACTTCTGTATTTCTGCAACTCGGCCTTTCCTCTGTGCTTTTTGGTTTTATCTGTTTTCTTCAAATGCAGTGTGTTTAGAAGAGCCTAGCTCAGATGCCGTGACTGAAAACCTCTCTCTTTGTTGTTTTACAGTCGGGAAGACGTCTCTGATTACGAGGTTCATGTACGACAGCTTCGACAACACATACCAGGTGAGGTCCTGGGTGCTCACCCTCCATATCACCTGGCAGCAGCCGGCCTCCCTTTGAAACTTGCCGAGCTGGGGTGGGAGTGGAATGGCCCTGGGTTCCCAGGGTGTCATTTCGCTATGGAGGAGCTTCGCACCTCTATACTGGCCCCATCCCTGTAAAGAGCTTGAGCCTTCTGAAAATCCACACCTTGGTAAAGGAAACATTTTCCAGAGGAAAATTCTAAAAATAGAGAGAGTCTGTGTTCTCTTGTTCCTCACAGGCAGATCCAAACCATGATAGTGTTTGGTTATTCAGGGGAGTCATCATGTGGAAGAGGAACAAGATGAAAATTGAGAGAGGTGAAAATGAGAGTGTTAGGCGAGCTTGCATCTCATGCATGGTTGTAATGGTTGTGTTTGCTGGGACCTCCTCTTTCGCTCCCTGCCCCCTACACGCACACACGCACACACACATACATGCATGCGCACGCACACACGCATGCACACACACATGCGTGCACACGCACGCGCACACACATGCATGTGCACGCACACACGCGCACACACGCACGCACACACATGCGCACACATGCACGCACGCCCACACATGCACACACGTGCGCGTGCATACACACATGGTTGCTGAGGCACTTCCTTCCTTGGAGAGGCTGGTGTGATGAGCTTGCCCTGCCCTACATGGGCAGGAGGCTGGATGCAGTGACCTCTGCAGCTCCTGGCCCTGGAGGGGTAGTCTGGGATCAACCAGAGGCCCAGAGGTGGTTCCAGGTGCCCTGAAGGCCAAGCTCTTGGGGGTTAATACCATGTCACTTTCCTGGCACCCTGGTGAGTAGGGAGGTTTGTGCAAGTAAAGTGAATTTTCCATGCAACTATAGCTTTTTGCAAAAGGCACCAAACGTAATCATTTCAACTCTTTTAAGGAAAAAAGGTGCTGTTTTCTTCCTTAGATAGAGACAAATGATAATGCATTTTTCTACACCAGTGGATTCTGTGAGATACTAATTCCAAGAGGTGTTGGTAGGTGTGGGGCGGGTGGGTTCAGAGCTTGTACAGATTTAGGGAACACTGGGCGAACAAAAGTAAATCTGCTGTGCTGCAGGGCTTCTCAGAGCCTGACTCTATCAGTGGATGGTTTTGATTTATTGAAAGAGAGATATAGTGTGTAGGATCTCCCAGATGTATTTGATCATGGAATCCCTTGGTCATCGAGTTCTCAAAGGACAAATAATTATAGAACACACCAGGGACTGCTCTTCTAAGATGTCCCTCCGCCTTTCTGGATTTACAGAGTATGTGGAGCACAGCTCACTGCAGATTGCAGCTCTGTGTCTACTTTTTAGTCTGTCTCTCTCCCTCTGGACCAATTATCCTCCTTGCCTTAAATACAGCCCCTCTGTCCACCTCTCTCTCATCTTTACTCTTTCTCTGCTGTGGTCTCAATTTTTACTTTACCTCTGCTTCTGCTCTGCTGTGGTCTGAAATACTGGCTAGCCCATGGACTTGGTGGAACTGACCATAGGAATTGACAGAGGCTCTGGGAGAGGGGCCCTGGCTGATGTGCACAGCCTCAGGCGTGGACTGTGGGATGTTCACCTTGGTCACACTTTGTCTTTGTTGTATCCTCTCTGGGCCAGGGCTTTGTAGCACCAAGCCTGTCCTCCTAATGAGGGGAGTTCTACTGGATCGGTTTGAATTCAAGATGACAGCTGCAGCAGACTTAGTTCTGAAGTCTGACTTGGTATTCATTTATTTTTGTGCATGCATGTGTGTATGTGAATGATCTCATATATTATTTGGATTTTTTACTATTAAGTTACTTATGCCTCTTGTTAGTGTCCCCTTGAAAACAGTGAGACGGTTGGTTGGTTGGTGTTCTTGGCAGTGGTGGGTGACAAAGGCCTCCTCCCAGGCCTGTGCAGTGGGTCCTGTCAGTGTGGATCAAAGCCTCAACTACTCCCCATGTCATTCAAGGTCCTCAAAATCATGCCCTACCTCCACGTTCAGTGTCGTCTCCCATTGCCTACTGCTTGTCCCTCATCCTGTGGTCTAGCCGACTTCCCTGCTCCTGCTGCTCTTGGAGTGACACTGTTATGCTTCCGCATCTTGGCTCATGTCATTGTCTCTGCCGGAATGCCTTTTCCTCTCTTCTCTGCTGCGAGAATTCTCTGGATGCATCAAGGCCCGGAGCACATGTTTGGTCTGAGTGGTGAGGCCCTTTCATCCTCTGTCCCCTCCATGACCGTCTCTCCTATAGCATCATCCTCAGGGCTGGTTTAGCCTCTCAGCTGTGCAGTAGCTCCTGTGTGCTTCTGGCTCTGGGCTGGGCTCTGCGCTTGGCTGAGGCCAGGACCCTCGGACCCACCACTGCATTCATGAGTCTAGCACAGGCCTGACCATACTTGGAGTCACCAGTGCCTGTTGGCACAAAAAAAAAAAAGCATGGAGAGTTGGCCTCGGGTTTTAGACCCATCAGATCAAGAGGCCCCAAGGACCCAATGTGGTGACAAGACGGAGAGAAACCTCAGAGAGGACTGCCCTCCCCATCCCAGGCTTTCTCTTTTTTTTTTTCAGTATTGCAGCAGGTGGAATTCCTTTCCCAGTGCCCTTAAAAATGATAATTAGGCTGGGAGACCAGGGCTCCAATTCTGTGCATACAGAGGCTCATTTCAATGAAATCTGTGGAGATGGAGAGGGGGAAATGTTATTTTGTTTGTTTTTCCTAATGTGGTGGCAGAGGCATTTGAGAAGTAGACAAGATCCCAGGGTCTTTGGGGGCTCAGCAGACCTCACCCCAAGTTGTGCCCCTGCACAGCAATCACTCCTCACCACCCCTTCAGATACCCTTCCAGCTGTACAACCTGGCAGAGCTGCCTTGCCTTGATTGACTGAGGTGCCCAGACAGTTCCTAGAATGGGATCTATCCCTCCATCCCTCTTTCCCTCCCACACTTTCTGTCTCTGGCCCCACTACTCCCCTCTCGTCCACTCATTCTGACAAAAGATGTTTGTCAAGTGCCTACTCTATGTTTGGAGAGGCAGAAGAAAGTGGCCTGGCCACAGAATCTGGCCCTGCCTTCAGCCAAGGCATGGAGGGCTGGGAGGGGGGTGTCTAACCCTATCCTCAGTGACAGCTGCTGAGTTCTCCCTCGGTCTAAAGCTGAGCATGCAGGAGACCCTGAGGGGCTGGCATGAGGACCTGGGTGTGTGGCGCTGGGTTCTACAGACCTCTCAAGACTTTTCGTCTACCTGATAGGCCCCGTGAGATGCCCCGGGGAGCAGGTCTTCCACCTCCTCTTGCCTCACACTTACCTCCTCACCCCCAAACACACACACACACACACACACACACGCACACACATGTTCTCATAACACATGTACTCTCTGGCCTCTCAACACCCTGCCCATCACCCCCCATCTAAATCCACTCACTTGAAGAAGTAAAAAAACAAGAGTCACAGCCGGGTGAAATTCATGTCTGCAGTGGTTCTCATATAAAACCCCAACTAAGTAAGTACTTTCCAAATTTATGATAGAAAAAAACCTTCCAGTATGTGCACTGTGATGAGACTTGGCTGTCTTTGGGGCCAGCCCCGCTTCCTCTTCTGCAGGCCAAATGAAACACACCTGCAGGCCTGGTCTGTGAGCCACCTGTGTGAAACCTGCACTCACGCCGCCGTGGAAGGGTTCAGTCTCTGCAGGTGGCTGCTGGGGATGGAGGGGGAGGACTTGGTAGCAGCACTCTTCTGGGGTCTCTCGTGGGCCCCCATCACTCCTGGCTGCCTGTTAGCATTACCTTTTGGGAGATTCAAGGGCTGGCTCGGGCATTAGCATGCTTAAAGCCTCAGCAGTGATTGTGAAGCACTTAGAGCCCACTGGCACGTCCCTGGGCCTCACACTATGGCACAAATTAGGAAACCACTGACCTAATAGGCTGTCCCTGGGAGCAGGTCCCTGGCTTGCCAGAGCTCACTCAGCTGCTCTCAGGACACACTGACAGTGTGGAGGAGCATTTCTGGAGGCCTATGAAGCTTTAGCTGCGCTGGGTCCCTTCCTGGGTCCCACAGAACCATTGGGAACAGAGTGGCTGCCTCCTCGCCCTCCCAGGCCAAGGGGTTGCCTGAGATGTTCTGGCCTCACAGGTGATCCTCACTGCATTCCTGCCGCTCTGCCCTGAGGCTTTCTTCTCTCTCCTCCTGGGGCTGCCTTAACAAATTGCGCAGAGGGACCTTAAACAACAGACGTTTATTTTCTTACCATTCTGGAGGCTGAAGTCCAAAATCAAGGCACAGAGGGCCTTGTTCTCTGAAGGCGCTGGGAGAGAATCCTTTTCTCCCAGTGCCTCTGGGCCTTCCTCGGCAAGTGGCTGCATCACTCCACTCTCCGCCTCTGTCCTCAGCAGGCCTCCTGTCTCTTTCTGTCCTCGCCTTATCTTATGAGGACACCCGTCATTGGATTTAAGGACCCACCCTAAATTCTGGATGATTTTTCATCTCAAGATCCTTAACTAATCGCATCTTCAAAACTGCAATTTTCAAATAAGCTCATATTCTGAAGTTCTAAGTGGACATGAATTTGGGGATGGATACCCTTCAACTCACTCCAAAATCCTAGCACCTCCCAGTCTGATCCCAGTGGGGTCTGGACCTTCTGGCCTATTCCTCAGCTTGGGCGCCTCACCGCATCCCCCAGCATAGCCCCAGCCCCTCTGGCCCTTCACGTGCCTTCTGCCCACCATCTTGACCTGGTGAGGCCATTTCCCCCAGGATCCTATCTTGGCAGCATGTCTTTTTATTCTCACAAAGTGTCTCCAGATTATTTCTTTGTGTAACATTTGTAAGTTGATTTAATGAAATAAATATGAATGTTTCCTGGCCATTGTGTCTGCAGGCCACTTATCTGGCTGCTTAGCCCGTAAACCAGCACCTGCCCCTCCCCAGTGATCTTGCCCTTCTAAGAGGAGCCGAGGCACATCCACACGCAGCACATCCCAACTGCTTAGGGAGGGGGCAAACAGGAGAGGTCACGGTGCATGGAAGGCTATGCTTTATTCAACATGGTATTTGGTGCTCTGCCATCTCTTTCCAGGTCAGCGCATTCTCAGGTGGCCCTGCGTGTTGCCAGCCTTGAGCAGCATGACCTTAACAAACAGAGACTCAGGCCTAAAAAGCCCCCGCACTGCCTTTGCTGGTGTGAGTGAGGTAGGGCCCAATGAGGAAAACAGACCTGAGCGGGGGTCAAGCCAGAGGTTCCCTGTGGACAGACACCCACACACTCACAGACACTGGACCCTGACACCCACGCCCAACCCAGGAATAGAAAACGGGCATGAAAAGAGACACCTGTAGGACTTTGGGCAAGATTCTGAGGTTGCTAAGCACTTTCTTCTTGGTGTAATTTTCCATCATCTAGACTTTAAGACGTATATAAGCTATGGTTTAAATACAAATTTACAGCCGAGGGTGGGGGTTCATATCTGTAATCCCAGCACTTTGGGAGGCCAAGGCCAGAGGATTGCTTGAGGCCAAGAATTCCAGACCAGCCTGGTCAACATAATGAGGCCCCATTGTTATAATTTTTTAAAAAATTAGTTGTATATAGTGGCATGAGCCTGTGGTCCCAGCTACTCAGGAGGCTGAGATGGGAGGATTGCTTGAGCCTGTGAGGTCAAGGCTGCAGTGAGCCATGATCATGCCACCGCACTCCAGCCTGGGTGACAGAGCAAGACCCTGTTTCAATCAGTCAATCAATTCATAAATATATACATACATATTTGCCACATTTCTGCCTGTAAAGTAGGCCACTGGTCCAGATGATACAGGGGTTAAATTCCATCTGATTAATTTCCAGGTTAAAACGATGCAGTACTAAGAGGCTGGAAAGCTCGGTGTGTTGGGGTGGAGGGAGGGCAGTAGTGGGGCCTGTGAGTGGGCTGTTGGCAGGGCTGCATTTTGACTTTCATGAGCCTCAGGCATTTCGCTTCATGGGCCCTAACATGGGCTGAATTGTGTCTCCTCAAAGTTCCTGCATCAAAGTCCTGGCCCCAAGTATCGCGGAATGGGACTGTAGATCAAGATAGGGTCTCTACAGAAGGAAAATGAGATTATTAGGGTAGCCCTAGTTCAATATGACTGGTGTCCTTAGAAGAAGAGGAAATGAGGACATTGACATTCACAGAGAAAGACAGCGTGAGGACACAGGACGGGGCAGCCATCTGTAAGCCAGGGAGGGCCTCGGAAGAAGCCAACTGTGCCTACACCTCAGTCTCGGACTCCAGCCTCCAGAGCTGTGAGGAAATGACTCTGTCGTTGAAGCTGTCCAGTCTGCGGTACTTTGTTATGGCAGACCTAGGAAACGAATACAGGTTTCTTCCTTTAAAAAATGTTAAGAATTATATTTTTACAGCTACATTGGTATAGAGATGAATGTAATTCAGACTGGATTCATTATAATTATAGTCATTTCTTCTTCTGATTTTAAGATAAATTAAAATGGAAACATTCTCCTTGGCCCTTACATGTCTTGTGGGCACTGGGCTCTGTGCCCCTCATGCCTGATGGGTGAGTTGGCCCCAGTGACTGGGACTGTGGAAGGCCCAAGAGTGAGTTGGGATCCCTGGGTAGGAAGGGTGCGCCACGGAGGGTTCCTGACCCAGACACTGACGGGATCAAAGATACAGAGTTTGTGGCAGGCAGAGCTGGAGGGACTGGGCCGGGACCAGGGGTGGCAGCTGAGGCGGGACACACAAAGACTCAGATACAGCTGTGTGTGGAAGCGCAGGGAGGACAAGGGCGAGGGAGGAACCATGCAGCGCTGTGTGGGAGGTAAGCGAGGGGCCTAGGAGAGACAGCACAGGAAGTGGAAGGGGCCAGCGAACAGTGTGTCTGTGGGTTACATACAGAAGAGGAAGAGGCCTGAATGTGCCCCAGGTTTCTGTGTGGACATGCTGGAAGAATATCGATGCCATTGACACAAAGAAAAAGGAAGAGTCCAGTGGGAAGTAATGATCAAACAGCCAAAATGCTTGAAAATGGCTGTTCTCTGAGGCCAGCCTGTGGGAGACTGGGCAAATCTAGATTCCTAAAGCCCTAAAACTGGGTGTGTTTTTCTCTAACGGAATGTAGAACGGAGGCAGAGTGCCAGAAGAAGGGGCCTTTTACCCACAGAATCTAAAATGCCATGTGTCCCCAGCACCCGGGGGAGATGGGGACAGGATCTTCTGCCCTGGTAGAGGTGGTCAGAGTGAGGGCACACGCCGAGGAGAAGGATTCAGCATGTCCCCTATGCCTCAGTCCCTTTTTTTTTCCTTTTCCCTTCGAAAAGAGGCCTGGGTTTAAGCCCCATGTTCAAGTCCCACTTCGCTGGGAGACCTGGGCCAAGCTTTTCAGTTTCTTAGTATTACTTTTTTTTTTTTTTTAACCTGGAAATTGTTCAGATGGAA